AGGATTGCAAGGGTTTCTTTTTCAATCTGTGCATATCGCTGCTGGGTGGGCGTGAGGGCTCTTGATGCATAAGCTAGGGGCTTCTCATCTTGCTAAAGGACAGCAGCTAACCCTTTGGAACTTGCATCTACAGAGAGGCATAATGGCTTACTTGGATCATAATAACCAAGGATTGGTGTTGACAAGGCCATTTGCTTTAGCTTCGGGAAGCTTTCTTCTTGCTGGTGTCTCCAGTGCCATGCAACATTTTTTCAAATAACTCTCTTAATGGAGCACAGTTTCTATCGCCAGGTTTGGCATGAATTTTCCAAGATACTGGATAAATCCGAGGAATGTTTTTAGTTCCTTGATGTTCTCTGGGGGTTTCATTTCTTTAACTGTTCTTATCTTTTCTGGATCTGGTTTAAAACCATCTTTACTTAGGATGTGACCAACATAGGGAACTTCTGCTTGCTTAATTTTTTGCATTTCTTTGCATTGAACTTTAGAATGACTTCTCTTGCTTTTGTTAACACTTGTTTTAGTCTTGCATCATGTTCTTCATCATCTTCACCCCATACCAGGAGATCATCAGCAATCACTTTTACTTCTTCCACATCTGTAATCATCTCTGTCATATGATTCTGAAATGCTCCAGTGGCTGATTTTATTCCAAATGGTAATCTTGTAAAGCGGTATCTTCCAAATGGTGTATGGAATGTGCAAAGCTTTGAGCTAGCTTCATCTAATTTCACTTGCCAGTATCCTGAGGTGGCCTCAAGGACTGAAAACACTTTTGCTTAAGGCATATCAGCAACAACTTCTTCTATGGTAGTCACTGGAAAGTGTTCCCTCCTGCGGATCAATGCATATGCGAAGTTTGTTGAGTTTTACAACTGCTACCATACTATTCACCCAGTCCGTTGGTTCTTTCTGCTTAACTACTATTGGAAAGTGTTCCCTCTCGCGGATCAATGCATATGCGAAGTTTGTTGGGTTTTATGACTGCTACCATACTATTCACCCAGTCTGTTGGTTCTTTCTGCTTAACTACTATGTCTGCCTTCTCCATCTTATTAAGCTCTTCTTTTGTTTTCTCTTTGAGCGAAACGGACACTTTTCCTGGTGGACGTACCACAGGAAATATGTTTGAATCAACTTTGTGTGTTCCCCTGGAAGCCAACCTAGGCCTTAAAATAGATCTGAGTGTTGTTCATACATCTTTTGACTCATTCCCTCTGGACAGTTTGAGAGGCTTTGTTGCTGAGGTAGATGCACTCGGGCAAGAAGACCAAGGTCTTTTCAGGTTTGGGCACCAAGGATAGTAGGAGCTTCTATTTCAACTACATGGAAACTTGCTTGAAAAATGTTGCCATTACATTCACAAGGTAATGTCACTACTCCTTTGGTAGGAATCTGATGGCCTGAATAGGATTTCAGTTTGACCTGATCGAGTCTTCTCATAGGGGTAGAAACAAGTAAAATCTTGCAGAACTTTAGTGGAGATGACATTGACTTTAGCACCTGTATCTAGTTGGACCTGTATAACTTTGTCTTTTATCTTTAAGTTTTTGCACCATTCACTTTTGTCTACAGAATTTACTGAGGTAATGCACCCGATAAAGAACTCATCATCACTACATTCATCTACACAGTTCACTCCTTTCTTATCTGGGTTTTTCGACAGGTAAACTTTAAGAAATGGTTCAACTTGTGACATTTTGAGCATTTATTTCCTTTAGCTGGGCATTTGCCTTTGTCATGTTGATAGCCACATCTACTACAATCTTTTCCACATTTCTTTTGTCGGAAATCGTGTGTTTACATAATCAAACCTTTTAAACCCGTTAAAAAGGTTTGATTATATAAACACACGATTTCCGACACCCTCCCCCCATTTGCCTTGAGAGGGCAAATGCCCACGAACTTAAACAGTTGGAAAATCGGTTATGATCAAGAAATGTGTTCATTGTTCATTCTCGTTATTATCCTAAATACATAATCTAGCTGCTGCAGCAGCATCCCTTCGGGGCCTGTAGACTGGCGTGTCTGCATTCAGGGTCGCCGGTGGGGTCTGTACTGACTTGTCACAGCTCAACTCCAGCGGATACAAGTGCTGAATTGGGTGCTCCAGATGCACCTTTCCTGATTTTAGCTTCGCCCCACGAATCACACCATCACGGCCGGTGATTAGGTCTTCAACGACTCCCAACTTCCACTGTGCTCGGTTCTTCTCCTCTGATTTGATGATAACAACTTCTCCCCTGGATGGATAGGTCACGTCTCCTTTGTGCTTCAGCCGGTGTCTCTCTCTCAGTCCATGGAGGTACTCTCTTGTCCAGCGTGACCATGGTGTATCCTTGCACTTCCTCAAATACTTGGCTCTCTTCTGCAAGTCATGTTCCTGAACGCAATGAGGTTCTAACTCTGGCAGCATGTTTGGTTGACCATACAGGAAAGAACTCGGGGTCAGGATAGGTAGCTGAATATCGTCATCCGGGTAACTCAGTGGTCTGTTGTTTAGTGCCACTTCTATGTCTAGCAGTACCTCTTCAAGTTCAATCCAGGACAGGAGACTGTTTCCAATGCATTTGTAAAAAGCTCCTTTTACGAGTCCCACCATTCTCTCGAATTGCCCTCCCCACCACGGTGCATGACTCAAATTGAACTGCCACTTGATCCCTTGGTAAGCGACGAAATTCTGGAACCTTTCATCTTGCATCACTTGCTTAATCCATTGGGCGGCACCAACAAAAGTTCTTCCATTGTCAGAATACCCCTTTTGTGGTCTCCCTCGTCGGGCGATGAAGTGCTTGAAACTCGCGAGGAATTCTTTAGTTTCCAAGTTGGGCAGCAAATCCAAGAATAAAGCTCGTGTCAGGCTACAGGCGTACAGCAACACATACGCCTTTCCCTCTGTCTTCGCGTTCTTATGGTACTTCAATGGTCCCGCGTAGTTGACGCCGACGACTTGAAAGGGTGTTTGACCTTCCGTGTGATCCCTTGGGAGGTCTCCTTGGGGTGGGGATAAAAAGGCTTGGGCTTGAAACCGCAGAGAGCTGTGGAAACTCTTCACGATTCGTTTGGTCAATCTTCTGAGGCGCAGGACCCAGTACAGCTCTCGGACCGTTGCCATGGTACTGACGACTTCCCCGTGGAGCGTTCCGAGATGAAATTGTGTTATGAGCTTCTCTGTGAAGTGGTGACCATCAGGCAAATATACCGGGAAATGCCCTTGGATTTTACCTCGACATTTCAAAATGCGGTCTTGGGTTGGTTGTAGATTCAGTTGCAACCGATTTTCTTGGTATTGTTTATCAGCTGTGGCTCGGGACTAGGCTCTTTTCGCCCAAAAGATTATCACTTTGTTAGTTTCTTCACTTGTCAGCGGTCCCTTAAGTCTTCCTGTCTTCCTTGAACGAACGTTGTGGACGAACTGCATTATCCACGCACAGATTCTCATTGTCCTCCAGTAGGTAGATTTCTCAAGGAGGGTGTCTAGCTCGTCTGTAGTTGCTATCACCACAGCAAAAACATCTCGTGTCGCTTTCACTTCTGCCATTGATTCATCTGATGCCTTAGTCACAATATCTGGAGGCTAGCACGCTTTGTTTTTCAACCACTTCAGTCCATTGCACCAAGAGGGATTATTTGTCAGATCTCCGCTACAGCTTCCAAGTTCAGCAGGGTTCTCTGAAGTCCGTACGTGTCGCCAGGTCACTTCCGAATGTGTATGTATTTTCTCAACCCTGTTACTCACAAACTGCTTATATGTGCCTGGAGATCTGATCCAGTGCAGGGAGACGCTGCTATCGAGCCAACAGTACTTTTCTATTAGGGGAAATCCCTCCAGACCTGAGGCCACGTTTGCCAAGAGATTCACTGCCATATATCCAGACACCAACTCTAGCCGAGGGATCGTCAGTCCCTTTTTGGAAAGTCTCGCTCTTGCTGCCACGAGCCCCTGATTGGCGCCTGACTCTTGAACAACAACAGCATACACAGCTGCAGCTACCCCTTACCACTGACATCACCAAAGGCGTGCAACTCGATTGACTGAATATCCTCTTGATAGGCTGCTAAAGACCTCGGGACTGTGAGCTGCTCGGGAAGTTGCTCCTCCCATCGGATCCAACTCTGCATCAACTTGCTTGGAAGCCTTGCATCCCAGTTCAGCTTGGAGTCACACACGTCACGGTAGAGAATTTTTCCTCCCTGTGGGTCATAGATCCTCGCCACTTTGCTTAAAATTCCCCGCTTGCTGGGATCAGCTTTCTCTTGTGGAAAACTCATGCCGACAGTATCGTTTTCCTTGTCCCATGGCAAGCCAAGCAGGGTAGTTCCTTTTCTTCTGGGGACATTTAACTGCCCTTTTGCGTACGTTTCTTCCTTGATCAAGACTGGTTCGGAAGCAGCTGATTCCAATTCTTTCATGTTCAAATGCCATTTATGCAACTCGAAGGTGCCCTCGGCGAATACAATCTGAGAAGCTGATTTGATTTCTTTTGCCTTTTCACTTGTAGGGCCGCTGCTGATAAGGTCGTCTACGNCCAGTGGCTATGTACCAGTAGATTCCAGGAGTGAGATAAAGGAAGCCAGGTCCACCTTAAATTAAACTGTGTGCTATCATCTTCCCCAAAACTTCAAATACACCTGTCAAAAGATGTTCAGTGCAGTACACAGGAGTAAGTCTTGCATGCATATATACCTCAGGATGAACCACTTGCAAGTTCAGTAAAAACATCCGTGAATGCTTGTCTAAGCAGTCCTCCTGTATCTACAGCTGGCTCTCCTTTGCCCTGCACTTTGATGGGTATGGCTGGATCAAAGTGAACACTGATGTAAAACTGAAAAAAGTCCATGACGATATCTTCTCTGTCAACCTTTAGCTTTTCTAAACACATATATGGCTTCATGGTGAGCTTAAGTCCGTTCAGAATTTGGTGTACACTATCATCTTTTGCTTCCTTCATTGTGCTTTCACTCAAAGCATCTGAAGGAAGCCCAATGTCCTGGTATGTTAGTAGTGAGTCCCTCACAGTTTCTCTACTTGCACTTGTAAAAATGGATGACAAAGACTCCACACCATTATCAATGAATGATGAATCCACAGACTGATAAGACCATTGAGGGGAGCTGTAACACTCAACTTCATCAGTTGCACCCACCTGCATACTTCCAGAGCTAACACCTAGGACATTTGGCTGATTGTTAACAGCTTGCACAGATGACTGACTTTTGGTGCTTTCATGCTGATCACCTTCGATTTCATCATCACTTGTTACTAGGGTTTCCTGTGACACATTCAATCTTACATACAGCGGTCCTGTGGCACAAAGATGTTTAACATGTTTAAAGTTCCACTTGTGATTCTCTTTAACCACTGGCACAGAAATAGTATTTCTTTCCCTTCTCACGAAGTCAAAATCCCTGCTTGTAATGTGGGGTAACTTTGTCTTGAACAAGGAAACCAACTCCGACTTTATCTCTTCTTCTGAGTAATCAGGATAAAAATCGTACTGACCTTTGATCACAATCATGTTGTCGATTAGACCATATTCCTTGTCAGCCTCAATGTCAGGTTCCTCTAAAAGGTAAACACTTTTAGGAACGACTTGCACTTTCGTTGATTGCTTAGCCTTTTTTTAAACTGAAGGCCATAAGATGGCATGCTGTTTTGGTGTTTCGTTTGTGCCTTCGACACTAAGTGCAGACACTTCGTTTAAAGCACGAGAAGCTGAGGAAGCAGATGCACTTATTAACTGCCTCGTTCTCTCCGCTAATGACTGACTTCCACTTCGTGAGGATAGTTCTTCTCTTACAGCAGATCTAATGGCCGACCTGAATTGTTCTTTGAGGCTGCCAGCACCATTCGCCATTTTGAAGCCTTGTGTTCCCAAGATGCACTTGGAGAAGGCCCGCAGGCTTTATGGGATTTTGTAGACATCTTTTTATGACTTTGTTGATCAAATTTTTGACCTTTTGGATGTGATTCCCTTTCGAACCCCTGGAATCTGAGTTATTATTTGTAAAACCCTGAGTTATTATTCGTAATAAAACCCTGAGTTATTATTCGTAAAACCCTGTTTTTGTCGACTTTGACATTGCCTGTTAAAAGTTGGTCGAGTGCCATTGTTGGTGTTGAAGGTGATGGTTATATTTCGTTGAATGTGATCATAAGTGTTAGTTTATGATAAATTGGTTTGTTGATAGACACAATCGGCTAACACGTCACGTGGTTTGAATTGGGTGTTTACATCACAAAGCGTCAGAAAATGGCGTCGCGAACTTGCTTCTGTTGTAAAGATCATGTTGGATGTTGCTCTTGTTTTTTCACACAAGGAAATTTTGAATGGTCAAAATCTTTGAGAAATTTTCCAAAGGTATCTCTTGATACAATTTCGAAGTGTTTAGAGAGTGGAGGAAAGAAAAATGCCGGCGAGAAGAGTTATAAGTTTTTCAGAGAAGGCTATGTGTAT